TCTCACTGTCTTTTGTCAACTGAAAATGCAACTTAAGCTCAACATACTGTGTAAGGACGCGGTTCACACACTCACTAATAGCAAGCCATCTCGTGTCAGACAGTTGTAAAATCTTCAGGGGTGTTTCTCCAACATTTATAGTTTTGTAGAGCTCAACGTATTTTTGGAGACGCTGTGTGGAGTTTGAGAACCAGTTGTAGGTCTGAGAAACCATGTACTCTACATTTCTGGGGAGTGCATTAACGGCCTTTGATGCACAGAGCTGAAGGGAATGGCATACACATTTAATATACACAATTTGGGGGTTGCGCTCACGAAATTTTTGCAGCACTGAATTGTGTTGTCCACACATTGTGTTACATCCATCAGTGGCAAGACCAATACATTTGTCTATGGACAGTTTGTTGTCATCCAGAAACTTGAATATAGCGTTTGCTATGGTCATTGAATCTCCAGCTTCAATGTTAATCAGCCCCGCAAAGGTGCTTATGACTTGTGATGATCTTTTGCTGTAATATCTGATGACTAAGCAGAGTTGTTTTTTGGTTGTTACATCAGTGCTTTCATCAACAATAAGAGAGTATGTTCCACTTCCAATATCTTCTAAGAGCTCTTCATGTAATACAGGTCCAATTACTGAGTTAATAAGAGCAGTGCATTTTGTCCGATGCATGTTAATATTTTTCTTGGAAATGTCTTCTACCACGCATCCCAAATGGTCAACAGTCAAAATGCTCGAGTGACAAGCAACATGAGCGGCCAAAGTGAGCTCTGCCTCCTTCACAGCAGCATGTGTAGTTTGAACAGAACAGCCAGTGTCAAATAAAGTCCGCGCATTTGAAAAAGGAGTCGCATTTTTCTTGTGCTTAACAGTAGCAGCGTGCATTAGCAAGTCGTTGTGATGTGCTCGCATTTCACTCTTACAGAACTTGCAGAAAGCCTTTCTGTCATCATTTGGGACACTGCGTATCCACTCTTTTATGCCCCTTTCTGACTCCCATTCCTTCCTATATCGTTTTTGGTACTTCCCCCATTTACCTGACATCGCACTGTTAGCTTCTTTTTTCCGCGTGCCTAAAATGACCAAAATGACGGTCTTGATAGCTGACTGACTGGCTTCTTTGCCGCTGCACGTGCGGCCTCTGTCTTGCGTAGGGGGGCGTGCCGCGGCACCACTCAAAGGCTTGCGTGTGAGTGAGAGAGAGAGCGAGAGAGACGGGGAGGGTGGGGGTGGGGAAGGGGGGTGAGGGACAGTGCTGAGCTTTGAATGTGACGAATCTGATTGGGAAAAATAGATAAAATGACAGATAAAGTTGCGGCCGCGGACAGTTTAAAATCAGCCCAAGAAAACCGCAACCCGCAGCACAAGATTTTTTCCCGCAACGGCCAATTTAAAGTAGCCCAATTGTGCGGGAAAACCGCGGACCTGGCAACTCTGATACACACACACACACACACACACACGGACCAATCACAGCGGAGCTTCCTTGCGGCGACCCTTACGTAGTTAGAAAATTTCGATGCTGCGCAGCAGGCAACGTAAGGGCCTTGCGGTGACCAACGCGTAGCGCAAGTGACGTCACGTCACCTCCGTAAGCTCCGCGCCACGCGAGTATACACTAGGCTTCAGTATTCATCAAAAACAAGCCAGGGGTTTAATTCCTAAAGAAGTATATTGAATGTAACATTTTACACAGTTTCAACAGTAAGATATAAAATATAGGAAAAAAACTGTACTTAATACAATTATTCAATTAAAATGTTAAATTCATTGCGAACTGCAAAGCCTTGACTCACTGTGAGTGATATTCTGGAGTGAGATCTTTGTCCACAGAAGGTTGTACATGCTGCTCCTTGTACATGGAACGTGTTGCAAAAAGACTGGAAATTATCTGAACTTATTTTCTTGAATGCTTTTAGATCCAGATTGAGAGACTGAGACGTCCTCATTGAAATGTAACTGTTTTTATAATCCGTAATTTTTTGAAATTGTGTGTTATTGTTGTATAATCTGTATGTGACTGTTTTATAATCTGTAATTTTATGAAATTGTGTGTTACTGCTGTATAATCTGTATGTGACTGTTTTATAATCTGTAATTGTATGTATTTTTTGTCCACGACTCCATTGAAAAAGAGGTTCTCATTGACTGCCAGCCATTGATGACTTCACCGATTTTCGAGACTCACAGAGTATTGTGTGCTATGAAAAATATGAAACCAGAGTCTGAAAGACAGGACTGTCTACTTTCAGCAGCAAAAAGACGTTTGTTTTTAGCTTGTTTCGTTCTCCTGTGATCTCCAGTTGAAAAGAGGGGAGTGTGACAAAGAGCACCAGTCTGAGACAAAAAGCTTAGAAAATGAAAATAGACAAACTGCAGAAAAGTGACTGTAACACTATTTAATTTAACTTTAGCATCTCCTCAAACATGTCCAGGATCTTACATGTTAGAAAACAGCAACAACAAGTTCTGAGAAAGTGTTTTTGATGCAAAATAATATGTTTTATGGCACACTCACATCCACAAAGTGTTGCTTGAATATTTCAAAATTAACTCATCCAAAATGGGCGACAGTAGCTCAGTTGGTAGAGCATTGGCCTTAAGGCCTGAAGGTCGTGGGTCCACCTTAACACCTTCTCCACCGACTCCCACTGATGACTGCTGTCGTTGTGTCCTTGGGCAAGACACTTAACCCCACTTTGCCCAAAGCCCCCACTGAAAGATCAAGGCTATGCTCACACTCAGAGAGCAGCCGTCCTCCTGTGGACTCACCACCTGCAGAGGGTCAGTGAGGGGCTGGTGCTATGAGACTTGGGTGGCATCTCTGACTGCCACCCCCCTGACCCAGAAATGGATTAAAGGGTAGAAAATGGATGGATGGATGGATGGACTCATCCAAAAACTGTCAAAATGTACATATTGAAAGTAGAGCCCATGACAAACTCTGGCAGAAAGAATGGACAGTATTCATCCATTAGGTGGCGCTATATTCATGTCAATAAGAGTAAATCAGAGACGAGCGAAATTACAATGATAAACACTATAAATGACAATAAATCAAAGTGAACACACAATATACTTATACTATAAGTGTAATAGAATACTGTGTGTCTTTGTGTGTTTGGGCGTGCAAATATTTGCGTTTATGCACGCGTTTGTGTGTTTTTGTGTGGTTACATCTACAGAGTGTCGTTCTGTTTAGTCCAGCGAGTGCTGTGACCATAATTGGACTTTACCTCTGGCTCCTGGTGTGGACTCAGTGATAGTTTTAGCAATAGTCCACTTTTCTGTGGCTTTTTTTGGGATGCACCGCTGGTCTGCTGCTCTGACCCTCCACATGGTCTGCTGCTATGACCCTCCACATGGTCTCTGTCAGCTCTGGAGACATATTTACTGCTCAAACGGCCTCCAAATGTAGCCTGACCCTGACTATATTACTCCATGTCTGCTTCACCTCTGTCTCTCCTGCTCAGAGTGCTCAGGCAGTGATCTTTGACCAAGCCAGGGAGCTCTGCTGCCACCTGCTGGCTTAATAAAATACTGTCTACACCCAAACCTGATTGTATGATACAGGGGACACAGAGGACAAGAAAAGATTGAGTTGAAAAACAATGTTGATGTCAATTGGCATCAATGGCTGTCAATGAGTTAATCTCAATGAGAATTTCCAGGTAAAAAAATAAAAAATAAAAAATAAAAACATTTTTTGTTTTTTTGTTTTTTTTTACGCGTACCCCAGTTTAAGAAACACTGGTATACAGGGATCAAGAGTTCCGAGCTTCCGGCTCGACCGCATGTGGGTAGTATTCCCAAAAAAGTGGGCATGAAATTACGCTCTCCTGTTAGATTACCTGTTGCGAGCGTGATTTGTCTCTCGTTTTTCCAGCCCATTGATTGTTTTAATCGCTACAAAAGGGCAAGTTTATAAAGCTCGCGTGTAAGCATTCGATCCTCATAAGTATCATAAGCAACATGTAGCTCTATAGTCAGTCTGCTGTGTTTACATCTAAAACCACAAGAAAATAAATGCATTGCTTCTTTGTTACATGAAAAAATCTTTACCTTACCTTCTAAATGTCTGAAATTGGTGATTTTTGTAGCGATTAAAACAATCAATGGGCTGGAAAAACGAGAGATAAATCACGCTCGCAACAGGTAATCTAATTGGAGAGCCTGATTTCATGCCCACTTTTTTGGGAATACTACCCACAATGCTGTGCGGTCGAGCCGGAAGCTCGGAAATCTTGATCCCTGTATATTGCTGACCAATATATCGATAATTGTGATATCGTGATATAATCGTTATCGTGAGCTTTGTATCGCGCATCGTATCGTGAGGTTCCCTTAGGTTCCCACCCCTACACATCAGTACTGGTTTCTGATACAAATCACCTGCTGGGGTTTAGTTAGAAACAGTACAGGCTCTGTGTAGTACATCTTTTATGTGTTTTATCTTATCTGCTTTTAAACAAATGTGTGGTACTATTTTTCGGTTTGTGAATTTTGTTATACATGACAAAATGGTCTCTTATTGCATAATCTGCTTGAAATTTGTAAACATAACAAAAATTAAAAAAATGAAATGATGAGTTATTAAGAACAACAATACATACAAATGAAACTCATGTCAAATTGCTTATTTTATGCTGACCTCAATGAGCACAACAACGTTATCAACGTGACAGCTCAAATAATTCCCTGGTCACTTCGGTAAGGGTCAAAATTATAGGCCTTTTAGGCCTTTGTCATTCTTGTCTTTGTCAACTTTATCAAAAAGTTTCTTATATCTGAAAGTGCGAATAATATGGCAGATATTATCATTAATCATGATCTGTGAAAGCATTTGGACATTTTCTTTTAATTTTTTTGTTGCTTTTTTCCAATATAGCTGTATTGGCACCCCTCCTCCAACTTAAATTGAAATGTACATAACCATAACCTATTAGATACTTGTCCATAATAATTCTGCTCTACTAACCACGCCTCCATGTCCCCCTAGGACCCCAGCAGCTTCCCCAGTGTTACATGGATCGACTTGGGCAACAACGTGGACATCTTCTCTCTGCCGCAGCCCTTCCTGGTGAGTCTCAGGAAGCGCTGTCCCAAGCAGGGCAACCTCCCGACCATCCTGGAGTTTGGGGAGAGCCAGGCCAGCGATGTCCCAGAGAGACTGCGAGGCCTGGGGGAGGAGGACGAGACCGACGACACCAACCGCACGGAGAGCATGGGCGAGCTGAGGTCCGAAGTAGACGCCGAGATGGAGGGAGAGACGGAGATCGAGGAGATGATGGAGGAGCTGTTGGATTTCGATCGGGAAACTCAAGGCAGGGACGAGGAAGACGACAGTATGTGGACAGTGGACGAGCTGAGGAAGGTGTCGGTGCGTCCCAGGTAAGAATGTCACCGTTTCAAGTTATTAAAATAATTCCATGTATTTTTGTATAGCCCTAAATCACAACAGTAGTGATCTCGGAGGGGTTTACAAAGTCGTCGATTCGAAAAACAACGATCAAGAGAATCTAACAGTTCAAACACAAGAAACGCAGTGATCAAAAAACAGATTCAAAATATGGGAAAAATAAAGCAATTCAGCCACACAGCACACTACAATATGATACAAAAACAATAAATACTCTTCAGTACCCTTCAACAAACACACACATGACACACACCTTATCACAGGTAGCATAAGACAAGACAAGACCAAAACCCTACACACACTTATAATAAATAAGACAATACAGAGGCCCACACTCACTAACCTTATGCTTACATTGTTTCTAGGTGTAAATGTATTAAGATTAAAATGAAGAGATCCTTTATTCGTCCCACAATGGGGAAATTAGTTTCAGAGCAGTCGGAATGAGGAGCACACAACTCGAGCACTAACTTTAGCTTAGTAAGGAAGAAAATCTAAAATTGCCAACTTTAGCATAATGAAGAAGCTATAATTAAGTATACAAATTTCCGGCTAAAGTATAATAAAGACAAATTGGGGGTTATGTTGTGACCTGACTGATCACGTTTGTTATTTAACCTAACAATCTTTCCATCTCTAGTCCCAGGAGAAGACAGGCCCTGGACAGTCCCAGGAAAGAAGCAAAGAAAGCGGAAATTGACGAGGAAGACAGCCATTCCTCGCACATGTCCTGCTCCAGTCAGTCTCAGCACTCGTCCGCGGAGCCGATGCGAGTGGAGATGGAGGACTTAGACGAAACCACGGACCAGTTGGAGCATTTGACCTGAAATGTTTTTTTTAAGTGTTCGATTTCGGCTCCAATGTGCAATCTGTCTCGGGGATATGTCCAAAAGAAGCTGGACGGCTAAAATCCAATCAAAAAAAGCCACCGGATAGAAGTCCGTCACTGCTCTGACAGAGGGCGAGCCAGGTGAAGGGATGACATATGCCAATAACAAAGAGAATCTATAAAGAGTTATATATATATATATATATATATATGGAAGGATTAAAGGGACTTTATGTAGCAACAAACAAGAGAGCAAATATAGAAAAGTTTAATTTAGCCAAAATATACCTCCCACTATATAGTAATACACAGAAAGATAGGATTTATACCCATTGCATCTGCTGGTATACATTGTGTGACAGAAAGCCAATTTTTTGTCTGTAAAACTGGCACAGTGGAAGATGTCTGAGAGTGAGGGTTTTGTTGAAGATGAGAAGCAAGGCAAGGAAAGCATATTTGTATACCACAGTTCATACACAAAGAAACTCAAATGCTTAACAAAACAAGATAGAAACCATCATACAAGGTCTTAAAATCATAAATAGGCTGGCTGAAGTGAGAGGAGTGCTTAATAAATTCCCCTTTACTCCAGTTGTGGTATTTAGTTGTGGTCCAAGGAAATTGGCCTGATGCATCAGCCGGTTTCATTTCACTTCATGGAAAGCGTCAGAAATGGCAACATTACGATGTGTTTGCTCCACAGCGGCCCGCCCACTGTGGAGCAAACACATCGTACCTTTTTACTTTGACCATTCGCTGCCGTTTGGTTGTGACGTATGTTGGAAGCAGGAATATAACATCTTTAAAACTCTCCAAACTTCCTCCTTGTTCTGGCTTTTAATCCTCAGTTTTTGTGATCTTTTCAAACACAGAATGTCTGATTCTGGTCAACATACGTCTCAACCACTTCTTTTACTGATTTGTTAAACTACAAATGAGCGCTGATTGGTCGATTGTACTTCCTGGTTCTCGAAGCATCTGCGTTTTTGCGATACCTGACCTTGTAGCTGGAGTGAAATGAAACTGAGCGGAAGAACTAGATGGCACTAGCCTGGCTACAAGGAATTAATTCAGATAAGGTGACATCTTAAAGGAATAGTTCACCGTTTTTACATACTGACAAATGTTCTTACCTTACCTTAGACTAGTTAATACGTACCTGTCTGGTCTTAGTCCGTGCGCTCTGTCATGCAAACGGAGCAAAAACGGGAGCACAACCGCAGCCTCCTCTGTATATTTTGTAGCACCAAAAGGTAGCTCCCGCTAGAAGCTACCAAACTCTTCCAAGTGTTCCCTATTAAATGTATATAGTTACGTGACGTGTTACACTGCAAAGTATAGTAACACAGAAATGTAACAGTCGATTTTCTCAGCGGATAAAACGGGTACTATATTGTGAGGCGTAGTAATCTGAGGGGCGCTACGTCCGCGCACTAACTTCTCTCCGGAGACTTCTCTCTCGCTCACTTCCGTCAATAGAAGCAGCGTGACTTGTAATACACACAGTAGCAGCGAGAGAGAAGTCTCCGGAGAGAAGTTAGTGCGCAGAGAAGTTAGGAGCGCTACGTCCGCGCACTGCGCACCGCGCAATGTATTGATTGTTAACTTTTTCTCCCTTGTAAACTTACTCACAGTGGGAAGAGTGGCTAAAACGACAATGTATTAGTGTTGTACTTGAACATTTGTATTAAAAGAAAAGGCCACTATATTTAAGTCCATGTAACTGAGTATTACCCACCCTATGTTTCTACCCACTCCGTTACTACCTATGGTCCCTTTAACCGGTCCAACAGCAGGGGTAATACTAATGTTAATCCAGGACTGTACATGTGCCTGTTCCATGCTTTCGCTATAATCAGTGCCCTCATGTTTTTCACTGCAATGCCAAAAACAAATCCTCCCACATGCGTACAAGTCGAAAGCCAGACGGATTCAGTGACAGAATAAAGCCAAAGGATCAGTGTAAATGACTGGATACTTAAGGCATCAGTAGATGTACATTAGCATAGAGGGAAAGCCATAAACAGCTTGTTGCCCAGGGAGAAACGTCGGCGTGTAGAGATTCGATAACCTTATTGCCCAAAGCAAAGTGCCGCCTATAGCATCCAATATTTAGTATGTGTTTTTCGCTTTGTAATCCAGGTCATGTTGGCTCCACCGTGCTGCGTGCTATTGGGTCACCATGCTGTGATATTTTTAAAGAGGAACTCGTCCGTGGAAAATGGTACAAAAGTGAGCCGTGAGGGAACGGTAGAGATGTTCCTATAGAGAGCAAGATGGTATAAGAGTTACATGTACATCATAGAATTGTAAACAGCCATAAGTTTGAAAATTAATCTGTATTGATCTATAATGAATGGTAGATTTTCTCAGATTGGAGATATTTTTTCGACCAGATCAATGTCTTTTCAGCTAATTATTCACATGCAAAACCTCCACAAAGTTTAAAGAGCCTTAACCCAGTCCTAAAATCATTGAATACACAAAAAGTTCATTCTCAACCATTTAAATTAATATCAGCCACATCAGTCATGTATTGTTAAAGCTGCGGTACATCACTTTTTTTTATCCTTGGAGTGAACATATCAGTTCACAACATACTGTCTTTATCCATGAGAAAACATTTCACATTAGAACCCGGTGAGTCACTATTTGATGCTTTGGGCTCAGAGCTGATTGGCTGAGTGAGGGGGATTTTTACATTTCTGTCTGAAAAAGTTGATCTAAAGATACAATTACAGTAATGTGAAGACTAGTGATAGATACTGTTTTGATGGCAAGGACACAGATTTTATGACATAGTTTAATTTTTTGTGGTTTGAAAGGGAAAATATGATATAACCGTAGGTGTGTGTCACATGTGGACGATGGGGCTCTGAACACAGGTAATAGAATCCCTCTAAAGACAACCAACCTCTTGTAAGTAGGACGACAGAGAAAACAAATATAAAATAGTTTGAAGCTTTTAAAAGTTAATTTAGCAAAATAGTTCCCTTGAACACAACCTTGTATATCGAAATGTCACCAGGGACTAGAAACCGTGCAAGTATTCTGCTCAGGCGGAATGCAAATGTGGATCCTGGAACCTGATTTAATGCAGCTGCAAAAGTCCCATACTCCTCCTCTTCCTCCTCCACAAGTGAGAAACGACTGCATTGAAAAATTATGAGCAGGAAAAATCAATAACGAAGGCCCGAGTGCATTTGGCAAAATTGCTCAGAGGAAGTGAACGTATTTATTAAGAATTTGGTCCAGCACAGCAATCCAACCCATATGTTATGAACTGATAAGATACCTAATATGATGAGATGTATTTGGGTTCCGTCCATCCATCCATTTTCTTCCGCTTTATCCGTTGCCGGATCGCGGGGGTAGCAGTCTAAGCAGAGACACCCAGACTTCCCTATCCACACACACTTCCTCCAGCTCGTCCGGGGGGACCCCAAGGCGTTCCCAGGCCAGCTGAGAGACATAGTCCCTCCAGCGTGTCCTTGGTCTTCCGCGGGGCCTCCTCCCGGTGGGACGTGCCCGGAACACCTCCCCAGGGAGGCGTCCAGGAGGCATCCGGAACAGATGCCCGAGCCACCTCAACTGGTTCCTCTCGACGTGGAGAAGCAGCGGCTCTACTCCGAGCTCCTCCCGTGTGACTGAGCTCCTCACCCTATCTCTAAGGGAGCGCCCAGCCACTCTGCGGAGGAAGCTCATTTCGACCGCTTGTATCCGCGATCTCGTTCTTTCGGTCATTACCCAAAGCTCATGACCATAGGTGAGGGAGGGAACGAAGATTGACCGGTAAATCGAGAGCTTTGCCTTTCGGCTCAGCTCCCTCTTTACCACAACGGTCCGATACAGCGACCGCATCACTGCGCACGCTGCACCGATCCGCCTGTCAATCTCACGCTCCATTCTTCCCTCACTCGTGAACAAGACCCCGAGATACTTGAACTCCTCCACTTGAGGAAGGACCTCTCCACCCACCTGAAGAGGGCAGGGCACCTTTTTCCGGTCGAGCACCATGGCCTCAGATTTGGAGGTGCTGATTCTCATCCCAGCCGCTTCACACTCGGCCGCAAACCGTCCCAGTGCATGCTGCAGGTCCTGGTTCGTTGGAGCCAACAGGACAACATCGTCCGCAAACAGCAGAGATGAAATCCTGTGGTCCCCGAACCGGACCCCCTCCGACCCCTGGCTGCGCCTAGTATAAAGTAAATTCTGCTCAGACTTTTGAGGCCTGCAGTATAGTATTAGTCAGTGAGCAAGCAATTCTTACATTAGCTTAATTGCTAAAACCCAAGCCAAGTTTATCTGACCCCTGGCTCTTTTTCCAAACACCATTTCCTTTTCCTTAGTCCTAAGTTATAATTCTGCTCTGGTCCTGGAATAGTTAAATGTTTTCTTTAGTGTTCTATTGGTTCAGACCTGGTTCTCCCTGTAGTCTTTGTTGAATTCTTGCAATGTTTATGGTGTCTTTTATTCCCCAGAAAAATCTAAAATAGTTGTTTCTTTATTCCCTAACAAATGAATGATCCGGTTTCAGATTTAGCTAAAATGGTCAGGTCTGCTGCTGTGTCCTTATCCGGAGGACACACCCATCTGTCCCTTGCTAATATTGAATTGAATAGCTGTGGCTTAAAATGTAACTTTTTCTTTTAATTTCCTCACATCCAACCGACAAATATATCTGAAACTTTTAAAATCCATTGTATTTTGAACTGTACAGTTTTTTTAAGCAGATAATTAAACTATATACATTTTATATAACATAGTAGCATATCCAGGAAAATGTAAAACAGACATTGCGAGTTATAGAGTTATGGTTTTCGCCTTGTACAGAGAGATTATGAATAGTATTGCTTGAGGAGACGCTCAGGGTTGCCAGAATGTAGAGAGAACGCGTTTGAATGTTACAGAATACATGTTTTAGGCAACATGTATGCAGTCTATCTATAGAGAAGTTATAAAGAGCAGTGGAAAATGGGTCAATGTTGGTATAATTCA